GGTATGGGTGTTCGTTCCAGCGTTATCACGTAAACTGCCCTATAACATAATGTATCTACTACTGATGGTAAGTGTATGTTTATATGTGTGTGTTTGACATTCCAACTTGTAACAGAAATGGTAATATATATATATATATATATATATATATATATATATATATATATATATATATTTAAAGAAGCGGTTGAAGTGGATGAGACACACATTTAGAAAAGCAACCAACTTCATCACAAATCAAGCCCTCAATCGACAACCTCAATGTCAACAGAAAAGAGGAAGGTCAAGGAACATATTACTCCAAGAAACGGAGACAAATATGAGAAGAATGAACAAAAATTTTACAGAACTGAAAAGAGATACCCAAAATACATTAGGTTGGAGAATGTTAGTCCAAGGCCTATGCTTCATTGGAGATAACAGACATAAGTATATAACACTAGATCAACTTATCTCTCTGATTCACACACAATTGACAGATGAATATGGGTTTGCTTGATGTGTCTCCTGAATAACTGAATAACTGATACCAGCTCAGTGGTCCGATGGTTAGGCTTCCGCCACAATTCAGAAGTTCCTGCGTTCGTATACTGCGGGGTGCAGGAGTCGTGGATGCGCACTGCTGAGGAGTCCCATACCAGGACGAAACGGCAGTCAAGTGCTTCCAGGTTTCTAATGGTGGTCTAACATTGATCAATTCATCGTTTCAAAAATGTGTAACTTAACAATCTTCACAACCCCGTAATGCAAACATTTCTCATCCGAACATAAACAATAGGCTTGGACTGTTCTTAAGTAACTGTAACACCTCTTTTCATACCGATTGTTATAAATTCATCGGTAGGACTCACGAACAATTCCTTGCTGCAGCATGTTCTAATATTTAGTAAAATTAACACACAGACTACATTACATCAAAACAATTGTTAAAATTTTATGTTTGGAATTGTTTTCCCTGTCACATTATACTATCATCAGAGTATTTAAGTAGTATAATATCACCAACTGTTCATCTTGATTGTGATTAAGACTGTCATCATTAATTATTTTTATTATATATTTTTTTTGTTTATTCTCATTGCAGACATTATTTTCAACCATTGCAATCGCATCAGATGCAACTTTATACTCTGACGATGTTGTTTATATGATTTTCGCTCTATCAGTGATTGTATTCAACTTCCTTATATGCATTACAACTGTTCTCCAATATGATATTAGTCAAAATCACATTATCAACATGATTATTACATTGATTATTGTTAGTTTGTTGGGAATTGGTCAACTAATTCACCTTATATTAAGATACAATAAAGTAGTTAGTCATATTTCTTTTTGAGTTGCATTATAATTTTTCAGTTTGATTATACATTCTGGTATGATTGACCACCATCATTAGAAGACACATGGAAGCACTGAAAGACTGGCCTGTCATCCTGATATAGGAATTATCAGCAGTGTAAATCCATGAATCGTGCTACTTGAACACAGGGTCTTCAGCCTTGTTCGTGAACGCTTAAATGCTAGACCACATCCAACGGTGTTATTGAATAAATCCGATCAGTCTACGGATTTCGTGCTACTTCACCTATTGTCTTCGGTTGTTAATGCTGATACCCAACAGAGTTGAACTCTCGTCATTTCAGTGCAAAACAACGTCCCTCGTTAAACAATAATGCTAAATCACAAAATGTCTTCACTAGTGACTAGATTCGTGAAGAAATTCTCGAAGATTTTGTGAGACCGGTGATCAGTGGAATTCAACCATGTCGGATATAGGCAGTAACTACCAAAATCATTAGACTGATCAGAGTTAGTCATTACCACGGTGGCATGGCCAATCAGTGTTCAGGAATGTAAACGTTCGCGCACAAAATCGAAAGTTCCAAGTTCGAATTCTGCGTTTAACGGTAGTCTTACATGCACAATTTTGATGAGTCCTTTCTCAAGATTCATCGACCAGCTTTCAGTGCTTTCAGGTTTTTAATGGTGATCTAACAATGACTCATTCATGTTTTATCATTTTCCTGATCGATTCCAATTCACAATTATCTTATCGATCGATAATCATATAATGAAATGATACAGAACAATGCGTTTGTTATTTCAATCAATATTCAATTAAACTATACACAAATAAGCATCTCAATGAAATTGTTTGTGTTTTGCTTTAAACTTAATTGCTACAAATCTCATTATTTCTGTTTTGTTTATCAATGATCATAGATTCCACTGATTGTTACTGGTGTATTTGCATTTTTATTATTATGTCTTGTAAGTGAATAAAAATAACTCGTTAACATTTTCTTGAATATTTGATAGATATATATACATTGTTCAATACTGAATTTTAAATGATCGAATCATTTTTAATGATTTCTCTGTAGTATAATGTGAAATTACTTACTTACATACTGACTGACTTATGCCTGTTACCTCTCACGGAGCATAGACCGCCTATCAGCATTCTCCAATCTACTCTGTCGTCCAAGTTCGTTTACAGTTCTATCCGATTGGAATTCATTCTCTTCATATCGTCTCTCATTCCGGTCGCAGTATATCCCTTGGTCAATCTGTCATCCCTTCACTCTTAGGAAAAAGAGAGTTTGCCTCGTGATACAGCTGGATGATCTCCTCGGTGTGTGTCCTCCAGTACTTGTCCTTATTCCCCCCTAAGTCTGGTTTCTTCTCTCACACAGTCGGTTGTTAAAGATGATTTCAAGGCAATCAATCTGCAGTATCTTTTATAGACAACACCTGAATCTTGTAGATGATAGTTTTCATAGTTCTTCATGTTTCCGCTCCATACAATAGAATAATTGTCTTGATGTTCAGTTTGAAAATTCTAAATTCAATCTCTTTACATTTGAATCAGATCCACAGTGTTTAACGATCATGCTGCCTAGATATGTATTGTCAATGTTTTCATATCTTCTAATGCTTCTCCATCAAGTCTGATTTGATTGGTGTGTTTCGTTTTGTATCGGTGGATTTAATGAAATATTCAGTAATACGATTAAAAATCATTGACTGTTTTGATTGCTCAATTTAAGACTAATCAAATATATTGTGACAATTAATAGGTCAAATGAAAGAATATTACAAACGGTATATAGAAACATGGCAGTCTAGCTGTTTGGTAATTTTACAATGAAGTTTATTATAAGGTTGTGGAGAATGTTAACTCTCATTGAAATAATCATGAGTCGAATAATTTTAGATTACCATTACAAACCTGGAAGCACTGAAAGATGGCCATTTCGTCCTAGATCGAGACTCATCATCAGAGTGGATTCATCACATCCGCTCACGAGAATCACACACAAGACTTTCGGCCTTGCATGCGAACGTCTAACCAATGAAACACTGAGCTGGTTTTCGACACTGTTCATCAATAACTTCGATCAATCCACGGTATGCACAACCTTATCCAATGTCTCTGCTCAGCACTGTTTCACAGAAACATTAATCAATCACTGCAAAATGTACTTTAGTTAACGTTTTACAAATACCCTTTATTTTTAGACATAAATACATTTACATAAACCTTTTTTTTATCTAACGAGATAATTTTCAATATTTCTTATCACAGAAATTATTGATTGAAGTGAAAATGGTATTTGGAGATGGCCAGTATCGTTACAATCGATCGGAGTTAGTCAATGCAGCTGAATCTATTTACAATTGTTGGTGGGGTTTATTTTTGACACTTTCATGGATTTTTGTACAATGAAAAAATGTGAAAATAAAACAAATAATACAAATCACACAACATCTCATTGTGTTTTAATTTTGACAAGAAAAACAAATTTTGTCTGTAAATTTTGATTTGTATAGAACAGATAGAATGTGGCTAGCGATGCGATTCAGTATGATTATTTCGTCAGGTTTTGGGATTCGTCTACAGTTCGATATACCTGACATATCCTAGAGTTGATATTCACTACAGGAGTTGAATGTAGTACCCCATACGCTTTAAACGCTATTGTGTTATCCAATTAGCACATGAGACGGCCAACTTCCTCGAATGTCTCTAAATATACAACACAAGATTTACTGACAGACGAATTTCACAAATTATTAATCTGTACATTTATACTATTGAAACAGAAGTGATATCAACCAGATCCAAAACACATTCCATTCCTTGGTGGATTTTGTGACTGTCACATGAATGAAATGTTGGGGATGTTAGATCCCCAAAACTCGCTTGACAGATGCCTTATTTTGAATTTCACGTTTGCCAGCATGGGCTGATCAGATGACTCTGAGATTTCATTTCCCACCACGAAAATCCATGGCTGTGATTGACTGCTGCGTATTTTAGTGTGCTATATTTGTGACTGTCCCAAGGACGTTTCTGTGATGTATAAATAAACGAGAGTTGTGTGATTGATTGTACTGTGATTGCTGGGTGTTTGTAGAATTTATTTTCTACGCTTTTCAAGTCTTCTGTTTTGAAGTTTGGGATTCAATCTAGCCTATCTGGACGCTGGTTGATTGTCTCGTTCTCGTCTATCGACTAAGGTGAACTCGTAATAGCTTCAAGCTTACCTAGTGACGAACACTACAGTTTTTCGGTGACCAGCACAGCTGTCGGTTGCAATATACCATATCCATTATCTTTTGGACGAGCTCCAGTAATTTCACTTTCTCCAATATAATGTTCATCAAAAATTTCTAGTTCATCACTCATTCATTCTTTAACATACGAATGCTGACAGATTTTTCTCACAAATATTTATGCATGCTTCTTCAGGCATACAGTTGCAATTTGATGGCCAACACATGGCAACTTGTCAGGAAGATTTTCTCACTGTTAGATCATTTTCCGTCATACATCATACACATAACGGATTCATTGACATCTCTTTGAGTGTTTCTTGGGTCGAAAGTGTTACAACATACATACTGGTGACATTTTGTAGAAGGAAGTGACCAGAATTCGTCCGATTGAACAAGGAGTAGTGGAAATCATCGGTTTAGAAACATAATCAGAAATGATTCGAACTAATCCGCTTCACTGCTTGTTAGTAAGTGTATTCGAATTGCAGACATAACTGTCCGATGGATCGTCCAAGCATTGGAGTGACATTGAGTGAAAACTTCGTCAGTGTGTTTAGTTCTAAGTAAACATTGAGTATTTGTATTGATCATACTGTTGAATTTGCTTGAGAGGATGTTAGAGGTTGTCAGCGTTTGATAATTTATGTTTTTGGTATTCTATTTTTGTTGTGACAATCTGCTCGGTTAAACAAACGCAGTCGATCGACTTTCTGGCATTTGAAGTTAGTTTTGCTCCAGCTGAAAGCCATGAGAAATGAATATTAATGTTCAATAGCCAATAACTAGATAAACAGTTGTTTTACTTGTTTCATTTTTGACAACAACAACAACCAAAACAACACGTTGAGAATGTTCTTTTTTCTCGTTTGTAATTTTCTAATTAGATTATCCTCGTTGTTGCCGGTGTAATTACACTTCCATTTGCAAGTTTTGTAAGTTATTCGTATTATCATTTATGATTATTATTAGTAGTAGTAATGTTACTACTTTTTGTTCAATACAGTTGATTATCAATTACTATCTCTGTACTTATATAATAAATGGTTCTGTTGGTACTGTTGCGGTGTGGTTTTAAAGAATTCTCATCACATCACGTAGACTTCTGAAGATGATTGATTACACCATGTGGATGTGTGCACCAGTAAGCTGTAGATCAATGATCTAGAGGGTAAATGTTTCTTGTACAAGATCAAAAATTGTTGAAGGGGACGATGCAAAGTTCGGTTTCTGAAAGTTTTGGCAAATAATATGCAACAAGAATGGAAGACTTCACTATTCTGTGCCTGAATGACGATTTAATACAAGACTAATGATATTCCTCTCTCTCTCTCTCTCTCTCTCTCTCTATATATATATATATATATATATATATATATATATATATATATATACATATATATATATATATATATATATGCAGCTAGATCACATCGTACTAATATTCGGTAATGATCAACTGTACATGAATGAGCCAAAAGTGACTATGAGTAGTGGAGACTGCGAATAATAAACTAAGAATAGTATTCTGTAAAGCAGTAATGAAAGAGCTGGGGTTACAAAGAATATACATAAATACTAGTCTAGATACTTCATAGTTATACAATAAAACTATGTACAATAATAATCCATAAATTAGGTTCTTAAGAAATTGTTTACTCTGTTCTTCATTCCGATATAATACTGTGAAAGTTCCTTCAATTGAGATTGATAGTAGCTGCTTCGTTGACAGTTTCAAGCTGACTTATTCATGGTAAAAATTTGTGACGGTGGACTTGAGTTCATCAAAACGATCGTTTAAAATTAGCAGTTCAGTGAAAGGTTTGTTTAATAAGATTCTGAAGTTGTGTTTTGATGTGGAGTTCATCAATCTCCGTAGAAGTATTGCACAATGTCGCACCGAACGACAATGGTCGCATTTGTAGCAAGGATACATGTGTCAATTTACAAATTCTCATTACTGTTCTATTCAATACTTGGAACCTTTTAATAATCTTGACCGTGTTGCACAACCTCACTTCATTATTTATTTTCCTACACGTTAATAATTCTGACTACCGTTGATAACTTTTAAAACTCTTCTACTTTACTATAGACTACTACGGGGCAGATTAACCATAAATACGATTTTGTACAGCTCGCACATAACAGTTTCCTAATGATGAGATTATAGATGCGCACTGCTGGAAACGTATATTAACTAGAGCGAAATAGCTAATTAGTACCTCCGAAATTTTCATGATGGACTAACTTAGACTGATTCATTTTATTAGAAACCGACCGTAATCCATATCACTCCAAATGTTACCAAAAAAATGGTCTGCGAACTGACGGAAACTAATATTTTAGATAGAAATGTGTATTTTCAATCAAACAACAAACTTTTCAATGAAATTACTGATACACTGCGTGACGATAAAAAAACACTTAATACTGACTTTATAGTTTATGGCGAAATTTCATTCTTTAAGCTAAATGATTTGGTCGTGGAAGTGTCTATTTTCATCGAATTAAAACACACCTAAAATGGAAATTCAACGAACGAAAATAAAAATCGAGCCTACTGTTGGGGATGTTAGATCCCCAGAACTCGCTTGATAAATGCCTTATTTTGGATTTCAAGTTTGCCAGCATGGGCTAATCAGTTGACTCTGAGATCTCATTTCCCTCCACGAATATCCATGACTGTGATGAATGGCTGCTGTGTATTTTAGTGTGCTATTTTCGTAACTGTCCCAACGACGTTTCTATGATGTATAAATAAACGAGAGTTGTGTGCTTGATTGTATTGTGATTGTTGGGTGCTTGTGTAATATACTTTCTAAGCTTACCAAGCCTTCTATCTTCAGCTTGGGATTCAAGGTAGCCTATCTGGACGCTGGTAATTGTCTCGTTCGCGTTTATCGACTAAGGTGAACTCGTAATAGCTTCATGCGTACCTAGTGACGAACCCTACACCTACACTTCACCTATTAGTTAACGATACATAGAAATCATAAGATCGATTCATAAGATTCTTCTAGGGATCGTAGGATAATAGAATCTCCGATGTGATCACTAGAAAAAGCAAACTCATACTTGATGAGTTGAACTAAAAGTTTTCGTTATTCAATGAATGAAATTATCAATTAATTAATTAATTCATTCATTAAAATTCCTAATTTAACTTGACATAAACGAATTTTTTTTTCTGCAGAAATTATTATTTGAAATGAAAAAAATTTTCAGAACAGGCAAATTTGGTTACAAGAGAGAAGATTTGGTCTTAGCATCTGGAATTCTTTACAATTCTTGGTGGAGTTTATTTCTCACAGTTTTATGGACATCTTCAATGACAGGTTTAAATCAGACGAAATTAATAGATATCACTAATATTCCTACTACATGACAACGTCAACTAAATTGTTTGATTCTGCACAAATTTCATTCGATACTACTCATTTATAAAGGATAGTAGTATTACAGGAATGTTTTTGATTTGTTATGCGTCTTTTTTTGAGAGACAATTTTTCATTCACTTTTCTCCCAATAAACATCTACATTTCAATATTCAATGTGTTATGAAAGGTGATTGTGTTTTTGAAAGTTATGTGTTCTCATCAGAATCGGTAAATCTTTTGATGGGCATCTCTTGACGATTGACTATTGCCAGTCATAGGAGTTGATGTGTAATGTGATCATTGTTATCGTGGATTGACGCATAGCATTGAATGATATTGATTGTAGTGTCATATCGTTTTGTCATGGAGGATGCATTGATGATTTTGGGTCATGAGCTTGTTTAGATAACATCAGTGTGATATATAAGCTTCCGCATGACTAAAATACAACAACACATTTCCCCAAAATTTAAGTTGTCCGTCTAGTTTGTATCCAAATATGTTTCATTTATTCCAAGTACCACTAAAGTATATCATCGCATTTTTCTGCATCTGCGTAAATGGTGCCTCCGTTCTACCACATTGTGCGGACATTGCATGTACCAATGTCATTTGTTGATCTAATCATTAGAAGAAATATCGTCTTTGTGACTTTTGAAGAAACTCAGCTTCCATTATGAAGCCTTATAACTCCGCTTAATAAAGGCCCTTCAACTCTGAGGGCAGAGTTTATGTGATTTAAGAGTTTTTTCTTGGTTAGCGTTTTCTTAGCAAGTTTGTTTTCTATGGGAGATGGTTGCTAACTCCATCCTAAACCGATCTAAGGTTTAGACGGACAATACCACTAGAAGTGTCCAGATAAAGTGTCCAGGCGGATAAATCTACAAAGAATATTTATCTGACTGGAATTTTTTATTACAAATGTGTACAACACAATAACTACTAAAATAAAACTTAAAGAATTGTTCTTACTACTTAAAAAAATATTCTACTAGTGTATTCCACTAAGACGTTTCTGATATTTCAATTGAAAATAACTAGATAAATCTTACTTCCTCATCATGAAGCTTAAGTCGCTGACCAACCAACTCTGTGCCGGGAATTTCTTCCCACTTCTACTTAATTACAGTGCACTCTTTTCATGTCAGTCTTCGATTCTTGGCATAAATGCGTAGTTTGGTCTCTTACTTTTCCTTTGACATTGAGGATTACAAATGAGGACTCGCCAGGTTGACCTAGCTGGATGATTTCTGACCTGCGTATCCCATTCATGTCAATCGCTGACTATTCATTTCTTCCTCAATCAAAACGAATCTGGTTTATGCTCTTAATTAAATCTATTCAGTAGTAAACAGTCAGGTGTTTATTATTTAACCAACACCTTTGAGAAAAAAATGATTTTGTTTATATCAAAATGAAATATTGAAAAATAGAAAAGCAAAATTCAAATCAAAACTCAACAATACACAACACTCATTTCAATGTCCAATTAAATTTATTCCTGGTTTGTCTATCGAATGGATTAAAGTGCATCCATCAAGTTGTTTATCATTTTTCGAAAAACAACCAAAAAATTGTTTTTTGATCATGAACATGATGGATGACCAAAGCATCATCATCATCATCATCATTGAACATTGACAAAACAGAAAAGGGAATCTTTTTTTGTTTGAGTAGAGGTAGGTTGACAATGCAGTTCTGGTTATTGTATGTGTAAATTCCAGCTGTTTGGAATCTTTCATCAAACTGATATGGACACACAGTTTTTTATGTATATGAATGAGTTTTCCATTAGTAAATAATGAATTAAGTTGTATTCATCATCATTAGTGATAATGACAAAAACAGTCAAAGTTCAATTCTGTGACTTCAAGTTACAATTAAGCTGATTATATATATCAATATATATATGTATGTACGAATCAGTTGTGTAATTATTGTTATTTTTCAAATTCATGAAAATGTTAATAGTATTTATTAAAAAATCAAACATTTCCACAAATCGCACACATATAATTGTTAGAACATAGTGAAATATCATATCTTTATGAGTTGAATTTGTTTCATCAATCATCATACAGTCTAATTCTATTGAAGTGAAAAAACAGATTTATTGGAGTGTATTGGTGGATGTTGTAGGATTCAAACTGAGGACAACTGACTAACCTCGGGATTAGCTAGCGGGCATTCAATGGAGTTTATGTATAACTCTTATCATTCTAGGTATTTTACTCGACCTCAGTCAGTTGTCTTCAGTAGTTCCTAGCTACGTTGTACAAGGTTGAACCTCTACTGGTCAAGTCTTCTCATTAGAACTCTGAGAATTTCCTCACGAAGCTAGTCACTAGTGAGCATATTGTGCACCTTTTTCGTATTCAGGAGTGTACAATACCGGGTATTCATGATGTAACAACTTTATCGTTTTATTTATGATATATTTTCAAACCTAATTCAATCCTCACTTGCTTTTAATAGTTCACTTAACATCACAGAAAGAATGAGACGTCATTGTGAAATTGAAAATGTGGTCAACATTTACAAACAATTAAGAAAGTGTGATTTGCGTTCGTCACAACAAAAAGAGGTATCGATTCGTCGAAATCAATATTCAAGTGATGAATATATTTTCACTTTGAATGTAAGCAAAAAGTACATTTTATTCTATACGTAATTCATTAATTATCCGGTGTGATGTGTGTTTTGTTCTTTTCACATACCTAACTGAATTAATTCTTGTTGAATATTATTGTTCTAACAAGTATTGAATATTGAAAGATAAACTGGTATCATTTATTGAATGATTGAAAATGTTTAAATATATATATACATTTATTGACTGTTGAACTTCGTTCCATTCAAAGAAAAATTAGTTTTCGTCATCACAGTTCAATAGATTTTTTAAATGTGTACTTATAAAACATACTGTCTAGAAATTGATTTGTATCAAACGAAAGTCAAATCATGAATCGATCAATGTTAGATCACTATTAGAAATGTGAAAGTACCGGAAAGACGTTTTGTCTTGGTATAGGACTCATCAAGACTGTAGACTGTTTGAAGTTATTTATTCACACCCTTGAATGAGTGGTCTATGGGTGAATGCGTAAGCGAGCAAGACCAAAGGTTCTTGGTTCGATTCTTGCGGTATGCAGTCGTGGATATATACTGCTGATGAGCCCTAGACCAGGATGAAACGACCATCGTTCAGTGATCCCAAGATTCTTTAATGATGACCTAATATTGATCAATTTGTGATATCAATGAAACTCAACAATCTCCACAAATAGAATTAAATTGTCTAGCCTCCTTTGGCATCACAAATTTCATCTTCGTTAGACAAATGAAAGTATACTTTGGTCAAATCGTTTATCTTTATTAGTAAAGCATATTCATGATTGGCTAAGTGAACTTTGTTGACAAACCAAAAATCAGTGAATAATAATTTCATCCATCTCTCTATATTAATGTACAAGATGGTTGAATTTTCCTCACTATATTACGTAAATCAAACAGTTACTTATTTACCTACTTACTTATGCTCTTATGCACTTACTTACTTACTTACGTACTTACGCCTTTTTAAACTCAATGGAGCCTAGGCTGCCAACTAGCATTCTCCAATCTACTCAGTCCTGGGAGTTTCTTCCCAGTTCTATCCAATCGCTGTTCATTCTTTTCACATCTGTTTCCGATTTTCACTGTAATGCGTTGTTGTGCTTGTATCTTTTCCTTTGATATTGAGGATTCCGAATCAGAGTCTATGTTTGTGACGTATTAGGTTACTATCCTCAATATATGTCCTATCTACCTGTTACGCTTCTACCTGATTTCTTCTTCCTCTTAGATCTGGTTTGTTCTATCCCACAGAAGGATGTTACTGGTTCAGCAGTTGCATTATAATAAAAAATTTTATCACTTAAATGAAATGTTCCCTTAACTACCAAATGGTTATATTATTTCATATAATCTAATGCGATTAATTTAGAGTTTTATTTATTTGACCCTTGATTAATTCTCGCCATAAGGTTGTAAAGATTGTTGAGTTCCATTCGAATCAATAATCGACCAATGTTAGACCATCATTAGAAACCTGGAAGCATCGGATGACCATTACTTCTAAGTATTAAAACGGTCAGCGTGACGCATCCACAACCGCCCGCCCTAAGGAATCGAACTTAAAACCTTTGATCGTACTCACGAACGCTTAACCCGTTGACCACTAAGCCGGCACCCAACAGTGCTTTGGTCTAACTTCGATCGATACGCAGTCTTGCGCGACTGTTTTTATTAATTTACATTTGAAATACGTTGATAAATGTATATATGTGATCGGATCATTCGAAATAACTATAGCGCAAATATATCACTCATCTGAATAGCAACTTCATACTCTGATTGTTTATTAAAAAATTTCTAAATTCAAACTAATTGTTCTAAACAATTTCACTTGGTCAAACTATCAAAACATGTGAATTCCTATATAAAACATACAACTCCGTTTCCAGAATGATAGTATCACTTCAATCAAACATTTTTACTTTGTAGATTTCATTGGTTGTCAATATATAAAATGAAATAATCTTTGTCTATTCTACTACCTTTACAGGTATTTGCAATTAGTATTCTTCAATTGGCAATCAGTTTTGCTGGAATAAACTTATTTATTCAAATGTATGTCATGTTGCTGTTGTTAGTTTTTCTGATTATTGAATAATCTGTAAATGAAATTTCATTTTTAGTTCAGCGATCAGTCAATGGATTAAACGATATGAATTCATTTTATGGATATTCAGGTAAGGAAATAACAATGTTCACGATCAATATCCAACAATAATATTTATTATTATCATACATAGTGAATATTTGAATGATTGTTACAGAACAGTATCATCACACAAGTTCATATATAATACTGATTTCTGTGTGAAGATAAACTCCGTTGATTTTTAATAGAATATTCAAGTCAGGTCAAACGGATATTTCACTGAATGAAATGATTTTGTAATCC